TGACAGTGGACTAAGTGAAAAGCAAGTGAAAAAATGGATGGCAAATAAGCGTGTCAGGTGTTTTAATACATTGTCAATTTCTGGTAACCAGCATCCAATCAAATTGAAGTATAAAGGAAAACGTAAACAGCAACAAAACGAAAATGCTCGTCCGAATTATCAGCAGCTTACTATTGAAGCAAGGGACATCTTAAATCAATGGTATGAGGGGCATCTTTATGATCCTTATCCATCAGATGAAGAGAAAGAGGAATTGGCAGATAAATGTGGAATATCTGTTGGACAAATTAGGTCATGGTTTGCTAATAAAAGGAGTCGTGCTAATAATACAAGGAAACAAATACCGAACTATTTCATAGAAAAGTTTCCAGAATATACACCTCATGTTCATATGGTCAGTATTCAGAGAGAACAAGCTCGTAAGAAACAGAAGAAACAGGACTCTCATATGGAGTTTTTCTACCAGAATAATTACTATATGTGAAATTGTGAAGTATATTATTTGACCTAGTGCTAAATTGTACATGCATATAGTTTGTAAATAGGGGAAAATTTGATGAAACAACTCTTTTTTCAAATTTAATTGTGTTACAATAACATATTCATTTTTTTTTTCAATGAATTGTTCTTTTTTATGTTATATTATAAATAGTTTTGTTATGTTTTTTCAACAATTTATTTTGAATTAAAATAGATAATAATTGAAATTTATTTTGTTTTAATTAAATATCAATGTTTAAAAGGAGATGTAGGGTATATGTCATTGAAACAGCAACCCAATGACAAAAAACAGAAAGACATTTAGAGGGCAAGTTTTTGAGTTTTAAAATAATGATGATTTAGTATGAGATGTGGTATGATTGCCAATAAGACACTATCCATCAGAGACCAAATGATGTAGATGTTAGCAACTATAGGTCACTTTACATCTTCAATAATGAGCAAAATCCATACAGCAAACCAAGCTATAAAAACCACTGACATAACAAAATGTAAAACAATGAAAATGAGAAAACAAATGACCTGATGTTTTTAGATTTGTTTCAATGAAAGAGATATGTCACAGATTTTATTTTAATTTCTTGTTTGTTGAGAATAGGTTTTCTTATGGCTTTTACCTGGTTTGTTCAAAAAGTCTAATGTAGAAATCTATTCCTATAGGGAACACACTTTATGTTGTTGTATTGCAGTATATAAACCAGTTTTAAGATAATTATTTCATTTGCTTTTCTTCAGTTCCTTGGTTCAAATGGTTTATATACATGTACTCTGGCCTTTGGCCTTTGTTAGTCTTGTATGTCTTTTAAATTTTATTTCATTTATATGTTTTGGAGTTTAGTGTGACGTCCATTTTCACTGAACTAGTACACATTTGTGTTTAGGGGCCAGCTGAAGCCCGACTCTGGGTGCAGGATTTTCTTGCTGTGTTGAAGACCCATTGGTGGCCTTGGGCTGTTTTCTGCTCTTTGGTCAGGTTGTTTTCTCTTTGACACATTCCCCATTTCCATTCTCAATTTTACTACAAAAAATGGAATTTGGTTAAGTAAAAGCAGGCTCAGCATGCTCAATATCAAATGGAGATGTGTATCATGTATATATAGATTGCTTATAAAAATAAGGACATGTGGTATGAATGCCAATGAGACAACTATCCACCAGAGTTCAAATGACATGGCTGTAAGCAATTATATAGTAACTGTGGTTGATGTTTTTATATTTCATTGTGTGTTGTACCTCTGATAAATGAAGAGAGAATGACAGTTTATTTATATATGAATAGAAAGACATGTATGGTATATGTCATTGAAACAGCAACCCAACAACAACAATAACAAAGTATATTTTGAGATGAGCATACAGTCTTTAACAAAAGACATGTGTTTATACAATATGTCTAACCCCTAAATAGTTCTGAGTCTCAAAATTTTGATTTAAGATAAGAATATGTAGGGTTTATGTCAATGAGACAGCAACCCAATGACGACAATAACAAATTACATCTAGAGATGAGTATACAATTTTAACAATAGACAGATGATTATACAATATGTCTAGCTATAGTAAATAGTCCTGAGTTTTCAAAAAGTTGATATAAGATAAGAATATGCAGGGTTTATGTCAATGAGACAGCAACCCAATTAAAGCTAATAACAAATTACATCTAGAGATGAGCATGCAGGGTTTAACAAAAGATAGGTGTCTAAACAATATGTCTTGCTTTAAATAGTCCTTAGTCTAAAAAAAAGGTTGATATAAGATAAGGATATGCAGGGTTAATGTCAATGAGACCACAACCCAATGACGCTAAAGTAGCTGATAACAAAATACATCTAGATATGAGCATACAGGGGTTAACGAAAGACAGTTTATACAATATGCAAAGCTTTAAATAGTCCTGAGTCTAAAAAAATTGATATAAGATAAGAAAAAATGGAGGTATCTCAATGAGACAGCAACCAAACAAAACAATAAAAAAATTAAAAATTGCGAAGGAAACAATTTTTGGACACCAATCTAACTCGTATCACAAAATAAATGATTTAAAAAAAGTACATGGAGCAACTGCAAATGGTTGTATTGATACTAATCTTCATATTGTTAGTGGTCGAATTTCTGGTAAAAGAGAAAATAGAAACATGCATTGTATCTTGACACTATATCTGGACTTCTGCTCATTATTGGTCTCTTGTCACATTATTGACTGATTAGTTAATTGATTGATTGATAATACAGAGTTTAGGCGAGTGCTTATTCAAATAGTTAAAATAATATTGAGTGGTTAAATTTTATCACAGTTGTCGATATTGTCAATTTCGAGGAGACTCTTAAATTATCAAGTGGACGATTTCAAATGTGATTCAGCGAAAGGTGACAAACAGAGGTCAAACAAAGGTTCAATATTGCGTTTTCCATTTCAATGACAAAACACTTCTAAAGAATAAAAAAAGAAGAAATATAAAGAAATGTTTAAGAAGTTGCATTTCACATACATGACATATTTCTCATACAGAAAGATGATAACAACTTTTTATTGATTTGAAGTTTTTGCAAAATTGAAGCTTCACTCTTTTATGAGAATTTGCCCTTGACTTTTATGATAAAAAAATATTTGAAATACAGTAAAAAAAGGTACAAAGCAACAATTTAAAATCCTCTCATACCAAAATGAAAATAACTTTTATTCAAACAAAAAAGAAACTTTCAAACAAGAAATTTAGGTATATTAAGCAAAAAGAAAGATAAAAGTGCTAAAAAAAACCCTAAATCTGGTCGACCAGTAAATTGTATTATAGCACTTACAGCAGTACATAATTTAAATTCGGTTGCTGCTGAGTGAATATATTTTAGTCCATGCTTTCAGCTTATAAGTTTGGCTTGCCTTTACATTTGAGATAAATGAATGAAATCAATCTCCTGCTTACGGCTTCAATCAAAACAACTTGACACCTAAAACTTTGAGATTCAATTTGAGCATTTGTAGTGGCCTCGGAGGCAGAGTAGTCTAAGTAGTCGAACTACTGTATCACTAGCCAGTCAACACTGAGGTTGTGAGTTGGAATCCCGCATTGGGCAGATGCACTTGACTTCAATCTTAATTGACTAGGGTTGTCAGTTATCCTACCGAAGGTTGTGGTTCTATCTGGGCTGTGACCCTGGCTTTCTCCACCAATAAAAACTGACAGCTACAAAATAGCACAATGGTGTTGAAAGTGGCATTAAAAGTCAATCAATCAATTGAGTATTTGTAAAGAGATCAACCTACCGGTATATATATGTCATAGAGTTTTTCGCTTTAGTTAAGACAGTCTATGGTTTATAATAGGGCCATCCTATTGACCTAAGTAACCAATATATCTGACTGCCATTACTGAAAATATAAGAATAATTGTACAGTAAATACCATGGATTCATTTATTTTCGTAAATATAAATTTTCGTGAATTGACGAAAAATTATTGTATTTTCATGGATATTTGATTTTGTGGTTTTGCCAAAGTCACAACACATATATGAAATAAGATGTGTTATAATTGCCAATGAGACGACAGTTAACAAAAACACTAAACACAAAATACAGCGACTCTTTTCACAAAAAATCTGACGATTAAAATTGATTGTAAGTTATACTGAAATGTGTATGACTTACGAGTGTTTTTACTCTTAAGATTTTTTGTGAAAAGAGCCTCATTTCTTAGAGTTCACAAAATTACTGAAAGCTAGTTCCAAGCCAATAAAAAAAAAAAGAATATAATGTATTTGAGAAGCCTATATATAATTTGTACTTTGTTTAACATTTAAAAGTGGGTTAAAACAATACACATGAAATCCACAAACATAGGTATCCCACTAATAATGATGAATCCCAGTATAAGGTTATTGAGTTTAAAAGTCACTAATGGTGTACAAATGTTGTGGTGATATTTCACTGTGAAAGAGAACGATTATTAGTGATTTTCTCTTAAATATCTGAACATTTCAGCAATTTTATAGACAGGGTCATAAGTCAGAATGTTATTGCTTTCAGCTACTGGCAACTGAACTCCCCTGTCTCACAAGCATTCACTCAACACAGACAAGTGTGATTTATGTCTTGCCTGCGACAATAAGTCATATTCTGCCATCAGGGTTTGGCTTCCATCACATCTTCATCTAAGTTGAGTCCTTGGTTAAAGTTTGTCAAACATTTCTGAGAATTAGCATCCAGAGTAAAATTTTAAATTGATTTTTTTTTTCATTTTTGTCTTGCCTGGGACGAAAGTCACAGAATGCAAAACACAATGTAAAATCATTTGTACAATGTGTATTATTGTTCAAATCTTAATCAACATTAGGGCTTAACCTATTGAAGGTTGCGTATACCACAGCTGTTATGAGGAAACTTCATACCATAGCTTGTGGTTTATATTACATGTATACTAAACTTAAAGATTTTAATTGTTTTACTGTACTAAGAAAATTGATACCCAATTATATTAATTTTATTTTTTTTTATATTTTTAGAACCTATTACAGGCTGCAGACTTCCTACAGAATGTCGTTTACATCAACATACAGTCAACAGATGAAGATAAGGTTTGCAAATATTCTTAAAGATTTCTGATGAAGTTGTCATGTTATTTGTCACTTTAGCATTTAGATAATATGAGTAAACATAGAGGGTGGGAATGCTGTAATTAGTAGATCACTCCAGCTGGATATATAACACGGACTAATTATTCTGACTCTGAGCTGATCTGTTTGCCCTTATTCCTTGGATGCTTAGCAGAGAAGCGGAAAAATAATGGGACACATCTCAATGCAGAATGTTACCTATTTAGCTACTACAATGAAATCTGAACACAGCATTTATCATAAAGCAGGAAATATACACATTAGATCAGCATTCAATATGCATGTAGTATTTCCCATTGGGTGTTAAGAACCAACCAATGAATCGAAATGACCTTTTAAATTTGTACCTTAATTTTTTTCTTCGTCTATTTTTCACCTATTCTCAAAAATCTTATTTTCAAAAGTAAATAATTAAACAACTTGGACATTAAATTTTTTTTAAAAGATTATAAGATATAATTCAAATGTATCTTATTCTTTTTACAAGGTGATGGTTTAAATTCAAAAAGTTATATTCTCAAAATGTCAAAAATATCACACACTGATGAAAAATGTAAAATGAAAAAAAAAAAATTATCCATGTAGTTTTTGCCAAAAAATTGTGTTTTGCAGATAGACAGATACTGTACACTATCCCAGCTTTATACACAGTTAGGATTTCTGAGGAAGGCTGCATTTTTCCGAAGAATAGCAGCCATGCAGTGTGTGACCCCACAGAACCCAAGACCAAACTGGCAACAATGTTACCACTTAATGATGCAGTCTCTGGAAGGATACAAACTCATATTTGATATCAAGGACATTCCTGATGGTAAACAAAATTTAGTCTTTCAATAATGTATGATGACATGCTCAACCCTGTTCCAAGTCAGGAACCTGTAGGTCAGTGGTTGTTGTTGGTTCGTGCCGGTCATATTTGTTTTCGCAAATTGTTTTGTTATGAATTAGCCTGTTAGTTTTCTCAAATGAATTGTTTCATATTTTTTATGTTGAGGCCTTTTATAGCTGACTATATGATATGGGTTTTTCTCATTTTTTTTTTCTTTTGAATTTTGTTGGATAGTTGTTTCATTGGCAATCATACTACATCTCCATATTTTTATATCAGAAAGTTTTCTGGGTTGAAAATGACAAACTTACCCAGATTTAAAGAATACATCAGATTTTGTATGGGGATTTTTAAACGTCCATTTACGGGACATATTATGGTATACCGTTGTCCGTCTGTCCGTCCGTTGTCAACATGTCAGACAATAACTCAAAAATACTTAAACCAATTTTCCTGAAACTTTAATGAATTATTTATATCTATTGACATAAGCTACCTTTCGCTTTTTATAAATTTTCGATTTTACTTTTCGCAGTTACAAGATTTTATTCATAAGAAAGGGGAGATTTTCCAGTTTTCAGACAATAACTCAAAAATGCTACGTGCAGTTTTCATGAAACTTTGGGGGCTGGTTTATATCTATCAAAAAAAGCTCCTTTTAGTTTTTTGGTAAATTTCAGATATGACATTGAGAAGTAATAGAACTTGTAGAAAAAGCGACAGTGTATCATACTCTCATGACATAGCTCTTTTTTGAATTATGAATATGATATCATCTCCCTTTTCTCATACAAATCTTGTGGTGGAAAATATGTTGATAAACAGACTGTTATTTGGGTAAGAATTACATGTTTGTTAGTGAATTCAAGAATTCAGTTAATTTTATATCATTGCAAAATGTTTCCTGTTAAATGCCTTAAAATAGTAAATTCGATACCCAGTGCGAACATCACAAAAAAATTTGCATTTTAAATTTTAGAAATACATGTTGATTAAAATTATGATTGCTAATTATTGGATTGTTTAAGTTGGTACCAAACACCTTGACTAAAATTAATTTGGCTCGTTTTATTTTCATTGAGAAGCTTAATATTTCCTTAACAATAGATCATGATTAAAACGTTTAGCTGATTTTTACAGAGTTATCTAGATCTCCCTGTAGTGTTATGTACCACCTTAAGTACATTTCTTTTTCAGTGCCAACATATGGATGGCCTATAGTGCAATATAGAGTACTTAATGAGTTGATCTACTCTGCTAAAAGAATGGGTAACATCCCCTTAGCTGTCAGGTAAATAATTATCATATATTCCTATTTCTCTTGATTCTTAGGCTGTAAAGTCTATTAAATTAGTTGATCAATTGAAACAAATAGCTGTTCAGAATATTGATTATACTGTGGATGGCTGATCAAATATTTTGACAAAAATATCACCCTCTCACTGTTGGATTTGCCATGGTAAAAAAAAGTATGAGTCCCTGGACACCTTCAAAAATCCTTAGTGAGAACCCTGCTAAAGGTAGTTTGATTTGACCCAAGTGTTACTATTTAAAATGCTTTGTTTGGAAAATGTGACTTGTGGAATATCTCAATGTAACATTCCATTATTAATGTACCACCAATAACAAATCTTATCATATAAGACAAACTTCAAGTGCATTCTCTATCAGCTATGTGTTCACTTCACAATAAAGGGAAGTAAATCCAGTAGTTTAGTATTGGATGGCTGTTTACTATTTATTTGCCAGTCGGTCCATATTTAAAATAGTAAAGTTAAAGAATAATTAAACAATTTTCAAAAATGAAATGTGACTGTGTGATCATATTGTACAGCAGATAAATAAGATCAAATACCACCTTAATAGAAGATTCATTTCATTTTATATCATAGAATGATATATTTTAATTCTGCAGCTTCTATTTTGAACTTTTTCAGGCATTCAACATTCCTACTGCAAACTCTACACAAGCATTTATCATCTCCAGAGAAGTCAGAGATTGTGTCTTCTCTTGAATCATTGACAGCTCGATGTGCGGGGACCACACAAGCTCTAGCTCTAGATAATGGTGTAATATTACCACCACTTCCGTTAACAGAGATTCCTCATGTCAGGTAATAAATTAGTATGAAAATAAATCATCAAAGGTACCAGGCTTATAATTTAGAATGCATGACATTTGTTTGGCCTACATAAAACTCATTAGTTAATCTCAAAACAGTTGGATGGCTAAATCACATACCAAGTTGAAGAGCATTTAAAAACGAAATTTCCTAAAAGTTGCGCCAAATAAAGCGAAGGCATTCTATGCTTGCGAGCCGAAAAATGACTTGGATGTAAACAATTAAACGGCACTGTACAGCATTCAACAATGAGCAGAACTCCATACTGTATAATTAAAAAAAAGGTTCCAGCATGACAAAATGTGAAACAATAAAAAAGAGAAAATCAATGGCCTGATATATGCTAAAAACAACAAACGAAAAAACAAAAACGTTTGTCAATTCTTTTGGTACTTTCTTCAATTGGAGATCTATTTTTAACAGACTTTCAGAACAGTACATTAAGATAAGACATTACAGAGACATAATAACTCCTTTTATAAAATTGTCATCTGTCTGTTTTCCAGTCATATTTGCATCTAAAGTATGGAGTTTGGGGGTAACTTAATTTTAATATAGGAATGATGTGCTAAGTTGAGATTTTGTTTTAATAAATTTAAAACTAAACAGAAATATGAAAAAAACTTATTACAGTGTACCTCTTATATGAGGGAGAATTTTGGGCTGTTGCATTAAAACAAACATGGTACCCATGGAAGGCTCTTTGAAAATTGGGTTAACCACCTGTAGATGCAATTTCACTTTTATTTTTACAGAGCAAAATAATATTTGACACCTGCTCATAGTTGAGATTTCCAAGTGCCTTCCATGAGTTCCATGTATGTTTTTATGGGATATGCGTTAGCCTTAATTTTTGAAATTTTTTAACTATTTATGAATCCATTTTAATAGGTCATTTAGACTGGTACCCGCTGCACCACATTTGGAACCAGTCAAGATTGTCTCAAAGTCTGCATCAGCAGAGAAAGACTTATTTATTTACACACCTCTTTCCATAGGATCGAATAGCACCCCAGAGAAAACCAACAAAGTTGGTAGGTATTATAATATTCTTTATTTCAGTCTGAAGGAAACCAATTATAAGATTTGCTAATTACACATTGAAACTGCCAATTAATGGAAAGCTAAAATGGTAATATATTACCATTTACTATCATGTATTTTTAAATTTTCCAGGCAGGCAGTTTACTGTGAAATTTGCCTTATACAAACATTTCACTGTTCCTGCAAGATTTATCATCTAATTCTAAATCCTATACCACTAAATAAGACCTTTTGGGAAAATAACCTTATATATATCAACCATATAGGTTCATTACTCTGAAATAGTTACCAGATTGTTCAATCAATCAATAATGGAGGTTAGTAATGCCCTTTACCGTCAGGCGTCAAACGGTCATTTTCGGCTACCGTTAGCGTCCAATTGGTTTTAATTTTTACCATGAATTGTCAAAATATCCTTATCGTGATTCGTCAGAGGTCTCAAATAATTATCCTTACCGTCATTTTTGGAAAAAATTTAACCTGATTCGTCAAAATCAGTCTATTTTTTTATCGTCTCAAAGAAAGTGTACATTTTATTGTCATCCATAAAAAATTACCGTAAACGTCATTTGGCAAGAATTTTTACTGTTATTCGTCATTGTAACGATTGTTCTCAATCTTTCTTACAATACCTTTAGTCTGTAGATATTTATTCTATTCAATAGCTTTTCGAAATACATTAGCCAGGTTTTCTAAATAAAATAACAACTAAACTACTATTTCAAGAAATAGAAATTATTATTATTACTATAAATAACTACAAAGAATGAAAGTACAATATGTTTAACGGTTTTCTGTGATTTTCGTGCGTGAAGTATTTACCTATTAAGTTTCTGTAAAGATGAGTTCAAATTCGTTTTGCTATTCGGAAAATCCCCTTTTTATAATCCTTAGCACGCCTTATCCTTGCGCGTAAGAAAATAGGTCGCTACTGGTCAAGGTTAATCATATAAATCACTGTCAATACATACGTAAATATTGGATTATAAAGAAAGCAATCACGATTTCATACGTCTCGACACCGATTTATCAATATAAAGCATATAAACACAAGTAACTAAAGAAATGTAGGATTAATAACAAGTTAGAAAACAAAGATGTTATTCGAATGCCACATGTTGGCGGAATTTCGTAACGCTAAATCGGCAACTGCCAATTTTGCCGGGAACGACGTTACGTCAACACAAAGGTAAAACCGCGTTATTGAATGTTCACAACACTGCCCTCCGTCAAAATAGAATTTCGTCTCGAAATTTAAATAATTGCGAAATATTAAATCATTAGATACAATTAAACAAAATCTAAACAAGCACCTGCTATCTCAATAGAATATTAAAATTAAGAAAATTTGTTTTTGTCAATGTTGACTAGATCACGAATATATCACAATTCTTGACACGTATAATAATAAAAGTGTACCAATGATATATAAAACAATATACATATAAATAATGTCAACAATTTTGTAGTTTTGTGTCTTTCAATATAATAAATAAACTGTTTATAAAATTTTCAATGTTTTCTTTGTCCAACAACTTCACTGTATTATTGGTTCGTCTCTTTTTGTCTTTCTTTCTGTATCCTCTTCTGTTTTTTTTTTTCTTTATGTGTCCTCTTCTGTTCTTTTCTCTTTCTGTGTCCTCTTCTGCTCTTTTCTTCCTTTTTCTCCAATCTTTTTGTGTGTCTTGAGTTACCTGTTTTTCATTCTCATGTTCTTTCTTAGTTTGGTCTAAATCTGTTTTACGGAAACTTTCTTTCAGTTGACTTATTTTTTCCACCTGACAGAAAAAGTTTCCATCCTCTTTTTTAACTGAAACATTTACAATTTCTTCCGTAACTGGAATATTTAGATTTTCTTCTGTTACTGGAACATTCACAATTTCTTCTGTAACATTTACATTTTCTTCTGTAACATTTACAGTTTCTTCTGTAAAATTTATATTTTCCTCTGTAACATTTTCATTTTCTTCTGTAACATTAACGTTTTCTTCTGTAACATTAACAATTTCTTCTGTAACATTAACATTTTCTCCTTTAACATTTACATTTTCTTCTTTAACATTTACATTTTCTTTTGTAATATTAACGTTTTCTTCTGTAACATTTACATTTTCTTCTGTAACATTAACATTTTCTTCTGTAACATTAACGTTTTCTTCTGTAACATTTACATTTTCTCCTTTAATATTTACATTTTCTTCTGTAACATTTACATTTTCTTCTTGCAAGAGCTCAGGCAACATCTGGACATCGACCTTGTCCGTCTGTGTACCCTTATAACTTGTACTGGTAATATTTCCTATATGTACATGTACATGCATGTCCTGCGTACTTGCTACCATGGGTTTTCTGTCATCGGCCATTACCGGCTCTACCATTGAATCTCTGATTGACAGGAACTCACTTCTTTCCGCTTCTTTGTCAACGATAAGCCCAGAATTGGTGTCCTTTACTCCGACTCTGGCTTCTCTATCAGTTTGTCTCTTAGTCTCACATTCAATCCGCTGACCATTAAACTGTAAGCCTTGCATAGGATTGATTGTGATATTCATTTCATCAATTAGGTCACAACCTAATAACATGTTATCTCCAATGGGTGCTACATAAACTGGCCATTTGAAGGTTTCACTTCCCAGATTAACTTCCACCTCTGTAATCCCTCTTGTTGTCAAGTTCTTACCGGCCTCAGCAACTACCAAATTTCTTGCTGCTCTCCTTAGTTTTGGCCGTTTACTCCTAGGAATCTGATTATACAACTTCTCACTTAGAACCGTCACCTCTGCTCCAGTGTCAATAACTGCATTCGTCACAATCTTGTTAATGACCACTGGAACTGTAATGCTAGCTGCTGTCACCCGAGCAATGATAATATTTCCTTCTAACCCGTTGATCGGTTCTGCACTACCCATTACCTCCTTTGGTGTGTTCTCTTGTGTGTTCTGTTGTATCTCCTTAGACTCCTCAAACAACTTCTCTAGGCTTAAATCTAGGTCCCGTATATCTAGGCTATCTTCTTCAAATGATCTCTTTATATAAGCTGTATTCACTGATTTTTTCGGTTCAACCAAATGCTCTTTCATTTGGCAATGTTTCTCTTCATATTTCAAATTATTCTCTTTAACTTTTTCTTTACCATGTTTAGGGGCTGACACTTGGCCGATAGTCTCAACCCTTAGCAGTTTAAAGACTCTTCATTTTGGTTTTGACTCCTTTCATTATTCCTTATAAAACCACCTCTATTTTCTTTATGATTATGATAGGGGCTTCTCTTTTCTTTTGGACAATCTCGTATGTAATGGCCTTCCTCATTACAGTTAAAGCATCTGGAGTTCTTCATCTTGGTCGTATGGTCTCTATACACTTGCTTATTTTGCCATGGACTACTGTCATAATCCTGTTGTGTATAATACTTTGCCATTTCTCTTTTAATGGTTGTCTCTAGTGACTCCGAAATTCCTCTTTCAAACTGAGTCAATCTTTCCTCTGTTACAAATCTTTTTCCTCCTACTTTTCTGACCTCTATATCTTCGGACCCACAATTATTTCTATAACTGTCCTCTGTTGTACCAAGCTGACGGATGTTTCTGTCTCTTGAACCTCTCTTGTAAGTCTTATATAGCGTTACTTGGTGTATTGCCTCTGTTATGCTAGTAATCCTTTTTGTCAGTAGCTCAATAGCAATACTCTGGTCCGGCAATCCTCTAAGCATATACTCCACACTGAGTGTACTGTGTGTTGCTGTGTCAATTGTGGGGAAAGACTTCCTGACCAACATCTCGACCCTTGAAGCATACTCCTGAATTGTTTCTCTATCATACTTTCTCAGAGTATGAAGCTCTTGTCTGTATGTTTCCGGGTACCCATGATCTCCAAATCTATTTGACATGGCTGCACAAAGTGCTGAAAATGATCTTTTTGTCTCTGGTGTAAGAAATGAGGCATATACCATTGCTTCATCTTTGAGGGCTGTAACCAGTTCCATGGCTTTGGTTGATGGAGTCCAATTGTTCATTTCTGCAATCAGTTCAAATTGCATCACATATGCGTTCCATGGATCCTTTCCGTTATAGAATGGCACTCTTGTTCTGCGTCCATTATCATTAAATCTTGGAACTTCTGATGTATTGATATACTGTGGTCCACTGGGATGCTGCATTGGTAACAAGTCTAGCTCTGTGATTGGTTGATACTGTTGGAAATTTCTATTTTGAATTGGATATTGTGAAAAATTACTGTTCGGGGCTTGATTTTGTATATATCGGCTATTCTGTACTGTATTTTGCGAATAGTTACCTCTTTGCATTGTATTATAAGGATAGGTGTTGCTCACAAATTGTCTCTGAGTATACAAGTCCTTGTTAAGAACTGGATTCTGTGAAATGCTGCTGCTAACAATATCCTGGTTTACATGGCTATGGGTACCAGCATATACATTCGGCTCTATATACTCTGTTGACTGGGTAATTGTGTTGACCAGATTTTGATTAGGGTTTGTTTGACTTGAACTTGGTATCTGAAAGCTGTTTTGTTTGGCTGTTCTCTTTAATTCAAAATTTTCATTCTTTAAGGCATCTAATTGTCTTCTTAATTGTGTGAGCTCATCACTATCAGAATTGGTAGATCTTGAAATTAAAGCGCTATCACTTCGACTTTGAGTTGGAACAAGGAACGGATTAGTGTTATTCTCAATTTCTTTACTTATAACAGGTAAGTTGATAGTATGATCCATGGTACAAGGATTTTCATCAGTCAAATGAGTTATCTCCCTTTCTCCTTCATTAATTGAAGTAGGCAATATATTTGGATACTTATTTATTGTCTCCCCATTACTGAATTCAGGGATATTAAACCTTGCATTAAAATAATCATGAGAGTTTCTAGATTCCCCTGAAAAATGGGCCTCCATATTCCCAGATGATATGGCATGGTTGGGAATGGCTAAACTACTTGGTGGGTTTATTCCAGATCCCCTTCCTCTTCCCCTTCCTAA